AAAGATACGTTCACGCAGGCGCTTCAAAACATATTTGATGATATTAAGATGTTGCATCACGGTGTAAGTGATCTGCGTAAACAATATCGACGAATGTGTGTAACGAGAACGAGATTCAATATCTGAACGAGGTGTCTAGGTATTTAAACGCATCTAGAAAGGTTTAAAAGATACGTGCAAAGCTCGTTTCCTATCATAACAGAGAGAGATGAGTATCAAGAAACGAAAACATGTGAAAGAACTCCACGCACCCGCGCGAAGAAATTTTCCACGTCGTCGCGTCGTGGTGAACGGTCGCGATAATTTATGGCAAGCCGACGTGGTCCAGATGCGTCCTTACGCGCGATTCAATAAAGGTTACAATTACATTTTAACAGTTATCGATGTTTTGAGTAAATACGCATGGGCTATACCTCTCAAGAGCAAGAACGGAAACGATGTGGCCGCAGCGTTATCTACAATATTTCGTGAGGACGAACGATACCCACGAAATCTGCAAACGGATCAAGGAAAAGAATTTTACAACGGTACCGTGCAGAAAAACATTGTTAAGAGATACAACATAAATCATTATTCTACGTATTCAGTGATGAAAGCGTTGGTGGTGGAACGATTCAACCGTACACTCAAGAATAACATGTGGAAAACGTTCACGTTAAACGGTTTGTACAAATGGATCGACGAGCTACCGCGTCTATTGTCAGATTATAATCATCGTAAACATCGAACCATTGAGATGCGACCGATAGACGTAACATCCACCGTTGCAAAACGACTCATGTCGACGGTATACAGTCATGTAAAAATTGCCGCTCCAACGAGGTTCAAGATAGGCGATCCAGTACGAATTAGTAAATTCAAGACAATTTTTGAAAAGGGTTATACACCTAATTGGTCTACTTAGATTTTCTACATCGTTAAAACACAACGTACGAATCTTGCAACGTATCTACTGAAAGATTATCAAGGGAACCCGATAGCTGGTGGATTCTACGAACATGAATCACAGCGAGTCTCCAATCCTGACGTTTACCTCGTGGAAAAACTACGCAAACGAGGAAATAAAGTGTATGTAAAATGGTTAGGAATGGACAGTTCACATAATTCTTGGATAGATAAAACGGATGTATTGTAACTTTTTATTTTATTATTACAATAAAAATACAACACATTACAGAGGTATTTTATAATGTCCCCAAGGTAAAGTAGTGACTGATTCGGGTACGACATACCGCTTATCATCGTATGGATTAAGAGCAAGCTTCAATTCAGACACCGTGTAGACCTCGTGAAATGTCGATCGTATGCACGACTGACGTCTCGACTGTACCGTTACATCGTTCAAACATCGCACATAATCGTCGAAAGTGATCGTTTTCGCGACTACGTTTTTCTTGACCCTTTCACCTTGACTCTTTCACCCTTTATTCTCTTCGTATCGCTCTTTCCAATCACTCTCAACGCGTACATCTTCGCTCTGAGTCCAATGAATTCCGTCATAATCGCACCACAATTTTCATCTTTCATCAAACCAGGTATTTTATTATTAACGCGTGGAATATCATACGCGTTTCTCTCAGGATAATCATTCGTGTCGTATCTCGCGATATCACGCTTGATGTCCTCGTATACATTCTCACACTCCAGAAGATAAATCAAGCTGTCAGTGTCTGTGTACAAAATCTTACATGCATCGCGATACAATGGTATCATATACTCATAGTAAAATTCGTATAGACGCAACTTAGCTATTTCGAGAATACACATACCTACGTATATCGTCATTTTTACCTCGAGTTTGCGCAATTCCACAGCAATTAGATTTTCAGAAAAAATACTTCTACTGTGAAAATTCGGTTTCGCTATCATCGCTTCCGCACCGTATCTCCCATCCCAACGCGTTATAAGTCGAACGTCAACGTGATCGCGTACGTTCTCCATCGTTTTTCCAAATACCGCGTTGTTCATCAATTTGTAAAGATTCTTCTCGAATTCGTTATTCGCGAGCATTCTAAATCTCGTATTAAGTTCGATATATCCACGAAGCCATGGGGATTGGGCGAATTGTAATATACGATAAATTTTTGTGATGCGGAGACCATGATAAATATATTGTTGTAAATTGCGATAGTACACGACATAGCGCTCCTTATCGTAAAGAGTGGCCAACAGTTTAACATTCCGTTTTCCGGGAGGTCGTTCGCGAATGGGGCAGAATGGAAGATCAACATGAGCATCGTGAACGCTTTGTGGATACGCAAGGTCGACTTCCAGAATATAACCGATAACGGAGTCTGACGACACAGACATTACATCAAAGCGCTCGATGTCGTCGACCCATTGAAATTCTCCGTACGGAAAGGATTCGGACATCGCCCAACCGTACAAATTATTCATGTCGAAGTACATGAGGTACGTCGAGGGTTCTGAAGGATCGTACGAAGATGCGTTATACTTGTTATTAGCTTGCGCGTATCTATGTGAACACTGACTCAAACCACCGCGTACACCACGTTCCACAAACATCACCATATCGATGTCGGTGAGTAATTCGAATCGAATACCAGTGTATTTCAGCATAGCGTCCAACGTATATCCCGGTAAAGTGTAATAATACGCTGGATCCAATCCGTAACTCTCAATGCACGTATCACGAAAATTTTCGAAAACGTCTGCTAATAAAAGCACATCTGTCTTGAGATACAAATCACTGTAATCACCGAGAGTCTCTACGCAAAAACGTCGCCAAACGTTCGTCGCGTGTTGATAATCGTCATCGGAAGCAGTCTCGTCGGTCAACGAACTATAAAACAGTTCACGCGGTGGTAAACTAGTCTCATTTAGCTTATCAACGCTATCGATATACTCATACGGAAACACTCCTTTCCGCGTAAGCAAATCGAAATCCTCAGCGTGAAGATTTGAAAATTCTGATCGTATAATTTTCGATTTATTCTTGTCGAGATATGATACCAATTTCTCGAGACTAGTATTGAGAAATTTGAATGAATCCACAAAACGCAATTTCAAACAGTCCATTCCCCACTTAGAGTTTGCTGTATCTTTGACGTGTTTCGTAAACGATATATATTTTTCTTTCGTTATAGGTAACAAGTTGACTCTACCCACAAAACTATTAGCAATATCCTTTATGATAAAATGTGCATCGTAACCTGTCAAGTTATGAAAAAATATAGGAATAACGTACGTATCGTTATACTGTAAATTACAACGTGAATGTGCAGGACCTCTATAACGTCCGGTTAAATGACAGTGATCGTGTACGCGCAAATCTCCTTCCTCAAATGGTCTTTCACAGATATGACAGTGAGTCGCGTTTCGAAATTGTTCGCATTCGATGTTTGATGTAAACTCCGCCATAGCCATATTCTTATCGAATATCGTTTTCGCGCGATGTGCCAAATCATATAATTCCTTGACAAACCATGATACGCAATCCTCACCGCGATAAGATTTATATATCGACATAGTTTCGTCATATACACAACGTACGTAGTACCCTACCCTAAGCACAAGGCTAAACGCCTTGTGATGTTGATAGGAGAATCTTGACATGTTTTCATCGGTGGTCTTCTTCGCCAGTATACACTCCAAATCGGCATAAACGGCAAAGAGAAGTCGCTCCTTCTTATTATGACCACGAAACGATAACCATTTATCGTTCATCGTTCGGAAGAAAATAGCACATTCGTTCGTCGTAGTACAGTCAACGATGTGAAGCGACAATTTCTCGCTCGTAGGAAAATAATGTAGACATCTGTAAAGTAATAAGTCATACGCGTTACACAGCTTTTTTTATCACTATATACAACTAGTATATGTATATAGACAACTAGTATACCTACCTATCACACAAATGCTTCTTCTTCGTACTCTTACTCAATTGCGAACCTATCAATCGTGACAGATTTTTAATTCATGTGAAATGACCGATGACGTTTTCATCATTACGTCTTGAGTCTTGCAAATACAACAAGTTTACATGTTTCTCTTTCTTCTCTTTAGTAAGACGAAGAGGAACGATTTCATTACCATCGTCTCTTTTTTTTCCACCTCTCTCTCGCTCGGTAAATACATTGATAGATATATCGTTCAAAAATTCAAATTTCGTAATTTGTTTTAAAGTAACGGGAAACTCGATACCCTCAAGCTTCAACACGGTAGTA